CATCCCTATTCTAAATACATACATAGTCTATAATATCATGGTAGTGAAGATCCATTTCCTACCAAAAATTAGAATGTGAGACCATAATTGATGCAGCTGGTCAGTTATAGGTCCGATCGTTACATATTTATAGATGTACCACAAAAATTTGTACGCTCAGAGTTTCTACAAACGTTAATCTTAACATTAATTCGAACCATTCGTTTTATTCGAACAAAATTTCAATGTAATTCGAATATTCGAATTCATAACGAATGAAATAAATAATTCGAATAATCCTTATTCGAATAGGAACCTAAGGACGTTTTTCAATTCATATATGAAATTCATCGCCTCCACAAACCTTTTTAAGCGCATTCAAACTTCTATTGTCTCAGGCTCTAAACTACAATGTCTTAGAGTACTTAAGTCTGTGTATGTAGAAAAAAACTTGTTCAACCAGGACATTAGTTGCTATTAGATTATAAATTAAGAAATTTAATTCTAAATAAGCCGAGTGCATACCAGGACTGCCAAGTAGTTTCTAGCCTAAAGCCATCAGTTTTTCTCAGATAAGCAATCAAGCTCCAAAGTTATTGTGACCCGTACTATAGAAGAGTTCACTTAGTTGCACCACAGCATATTCAGGGGTCCTATAATAATGCAAGACCAAATAAAATAAACTGCACCCACTCTTGAACTTCTATTTATCTTCATGGATTAGCCATTACTCCAACAAAAATAAAGGAATAAATATCACTTTACGTTACTCAAGTTCAGCCTTACCATTGATTCACATATATTAAGAACTGAACACCTTCTTCATTGATTAGCTAAAAAAAAATTTTGACAGATATTCTAATCCTAACTCACAAATCGATCAATATATGCATTTCCCAATCTTAGAAATTTAAATTGTATAATGACTATGGTTGCTTGCCAAAATTCCTCCAGAAATCAATTGGTAGAGTTTCGGCAGGTTACACGCTAATTGTTTCGGCAGAGTTTCGCATTTGGGAGTTTTGACAATTGGCAAAGTTTTGGCAGCCATTAAGAGGTTTCGGCAAGCAACCTTAATAATGGCAGATAAATAATGTAAATGTGATTTCTTCTTTAGGCTCTATATTGTTTTATAACATTGTATATTCATAGTAGAATGGCACATACTGATATGATAAGAACCTATAATTTATATATATTAGTATTGTTATATGGAGACTGAAACTTTACTCACACATAGTATTAAGTTAAAACTTAGTTCCGAAGAGATCAGAGGGAAATCTAAATGTATTATAATTCATGCTAGAAAACAGAAATAATCCTCATATCTTGTCATGTGCCAATAGCCTTTAAGTATGAAGTTTGATTCATCTAAATTGTTTTTATAAATATAAATAGTACATTAATAGTATATATATATATATATGTAAAATATTGAAAAAGTCATCTATAATTAACAGATGAATATATAATGAATTTGAATTTTTCTTATGTTCATAATAAATGGAATTAATGGGTGAATATATAATAAATTTGAATTTTCTTACATCTATAATTAATGGAGAATATATAATAAATTTAATAAATGTGAATTTTCTTATGTTCATAATAAATAGAAAAATATATAATAAATTTGAATTTCCTTACACCTATAATTAATGGATGAATATATAAATTTAATAAATTTGAATTTTTTATGTTCATAATAAATGGAATTAATGGATGAATATATATATAATAAATTTGAATTTTCTTACATTCATAACAAATAGGATTAATGGATGGATATATATATATATGAATTATCGAGAAAATAAATTTGAATTTTCTTATATCTATAATAAATATTTAGTTGTTAATGAATAAACAACAAATTATGTACAAATAAAGTGATTAATAAATGAGTATAAATATATAATTTTCTTACAGCTTATTATTGTTGTAAATAATTTTGTGATCCTTTATTTTATCTATTTAATATGTTTCATCTGATATGTTTTTCACATTTTTTCAACTAATATCTTTTTTAAAATAGAGCATGCAGTAATCCGCCTTTGTTAAGGACATTCATTGACAGGTGTTACTATTTTTGGTTTTATCATCTTAAACATTATTGAAGTAAAAAAGTGAAAAGTGAACTTAAAATATACTTAAAATATACTTAAAAAATGAAATTTTCTTTGACTAGTAATTTCTTATATCTTGTAAACTTCGCAGTGATCCTCAGAGTATATATTCAGAGGAATTTATTTCAACTATTATAGGTGTTTTTTAAAATAAAATAAAATTTAACATGCATGGAAGTATCACGTTTGTAACATATATGAATTTATCAAGATGGAGGTTCTAATTTTTTCCAGAATTGATTTCCAAATTTGGATTATATTAATTATTATTATTATTATTTTTTTTTTTTTTTGCTGAGTGAGGTCTGACCAAACATTTTATGATGATCATGCCATTCTTGGAATGGGTTAATCGTACAATGTTTGATTCAGTCGTGGATAGTGGTGTGACCCACTACCCAAAACTGTGACCTGCCACCTTGAATGGATATGGCGGTCCAGACCTACTGATCCATGGCATCGCCATAGCTCAATTCCACTCTTTTATTAAATAAAATTAGGTTTTCAGTTCTTTATTTTTTTTAAAAAATATTAACCCTTTGACGATATTTTTTCCTTTTTCTTCATCACAATACAATAATTAATGTTTTATAACTTTAATTTTGAAATTAACGAATAATTGATCAAAATTAATTTTTATCTTATACTGTGTGTATATATTCGTATAATCATCATCATCTGAAACTAATAACAAAATAATTCGTCATCAAATATATTTTTTTCTTTTCCTTTCTTTAATCCAAAAAATCAATATTTTAATTCATCATATATTTATATTTTTATTATATTTAATTACCCATACACAAAACGACAAAATTGTTTAGTGCCCCCTTTTTTTTTTTCCATAAATACTCGCAATTTTTCTCAAAACAAAAAATCAAAAAAAAAAAAACTGAAAAATACTCCACAGAAAAATACACTTATAAAATAATAAAAACCTTTAACGAATAAATTTCTCTATCCTCTAATAATAGAAGATAATAAAATAATTTTTAACCAATAAATATTATTTTCTCTACTAAAATCAACGGTAGGCTAATTACATCATTCTTGGCACTTTATTATTTATTTATTTCAAAACATCACTTTTACATATCACCCAATTATATCACAAATCACTTTTTAATCATCACTCTTCAAATGAGAGCCCAAATCTTTTTGGAAACCCCCAATAATTTATACAATTTATAATATAATTTATTTATTTATATTGATATACTTTAAAAATATTATTATTTAAATAATTTTTAAAACAATAATAACCTTATCAATTATATATATAAATTACATATTAATATAATAAATATATCGTAAAGTATATATATTATATATTTCTCTTGCTTTTTTCAAAAAAAAATACTTTTACAAAAAAATAAATAAATTAATAATAAAAAAATTAATATTTATTAGCTTTTTTTTTTAACACTTCTTTTTTTCTTCAAATATATAATTATTAATATAATTATAATTAAACTTTATCAAATTATAAAATTATTTTGTCATTCTAATATATAATTTTTTTATTTAAAAGAAAATAGAATTATCATCTCTTGATTTTAGAATTTTTTTAAAGAAACAAAAAAAAAAAAATGGTACAGTCACCCTTCCTCACCTCTGAAACTTTCAACAGTGCCAGCAATAATAATAATAATAGCAATAATAATTACAACTTATCAATATCTCACGCTGTTGATATGGTATCTCCATTTTACAATAGTGACTATTCTTATCATCTTCATCAAACTGACGATAACTGTAACAACAATAACGCCAATAACAATATTTGTGTTAAACAACAGCAGCAAGAGCAATCATTCGATTATTCTTATATACAACCTTTCATAAATGAAAAACTTGCTGCTGCTGCTTTCGTTGCAAAATTATATCAACCATATGTGTCGACGACATCATCACTATCATCGTCTTGTTCTTCTTCAAATTCACCAATAATACCACCGTCTTCATCTTTATCATCGACTATTAACAGCTATCCAGCAACAACGACAATATCTACTGCAACAACCGGTGATTCTAATACTGATGCTACCGTTATTGATAATACTTCAAACAACGTCGTTGATTTTGATTTGATCATAAATTCTGGAAATTTACAATCTGTTCAACAAAATGATATCGCTGTCACTGCTGCTACTGATGCATCTGCCATTTATGGTTATAATGATTCTGCTTTATATAATCCATACATCACCTTGGATTCCAACGCTTTATCAAATTTTGATCTCTTTCAATTCAATACCCAATTGGATCAACAAAAGTTAAACGTCAACATTAATAACAATAATAGCAATGATAGCAATAATAATAACGAGACCATTGACAATAGATCTAATATATCAGACAATAATAATAATAAAAATACAAATAGAAATAGCAGCAATGGTAATAATAATAATCGAACAAAACCTATATTGACGCCTTTAAATGTCGCCACGATGCCTTCTTACTCGGCAGCAAATCCTGATGATTTTTACAATTATAATGAAATGCCAACTTCAACTACTACGAATGATAGTTGTGATTTGACTTTCGGTGACAATAACTCCACTAGAACTCCCTCACCTGTGCCTAACACTGCACCATCTTCTCCTTTATATTTTAGTACGCTCACTGATCACTTTAACCAAAAGATCAACGAGGAAAATCATCTTAATAACATTAATCATCAATTGATCAATGATGGTCTCTCTTACATTCCTACACTTTCCTCTTATCAAGGTCTACCAAATTATGAAAATAATAATACCATTACTGCTGCTACGACCACTACTAATACAGGAATTGATACTAATAATAATTATAATTATAATAATAATAATACCATTTATAATGTATTGAAGATCGAAAATGATCCTCAAACAATTCCACCTAGTGCAATCAACATTTCTCAAAATCATCATCTTCATCCTAACAATCAACCTGCCTTTGCACCAATTTTTACAAACTCTCCAACTGAAGCAAGTTTAAAATTTGACTATTTTACTACTCCTCACATCTCCTCATCATCAGCTCATTCTTACTACATTAAATCTTCACCGTCGTCATTTGATCAACAACATCCCAATCAATATTCTTCTAATCAAAATAATAATTTTAATGCAAGCGAATATTGTAATCCTAACTCAATATCAACTACATCATCATTACCATCATCACCATACAACGCAACTACCACCGAAATCATCGCCAACGTCACCAATTGTTCACCTGTTGTTGCTTTTACTGATGATCAGAAGAATAATAAAAGACGACGTAGTAAATGTAGAACTTTGTCCAATCCGCCATGTTTGAAATCACAACCACTTACTCCAGTTCTTTCATCCGATTCTCATGCCACATTCACAACTACTTCTCCCTCATCTCCTACCTCTCCATCATTATCCATTGTTCAATCAATCAAAGAGGAAGAAGATGACGACGATAATAGAATTAGTAGAAATAATGGCAATAATACTAATAATCTTAACAAAAGAAAAAGAATTGGTAATGATTTCATAAAAAGTAAAAAGTTAATTAATGCTGCAAAAGCTGAACCCGAAAATAACAACAATTTAAATGGAATAGCTACAAATGGCAATAATAATAATAATAACGCTGCTGCTCTTTCACCCATTACGACCGTACCTACTAGTAAATCTGCTGCCGCTACACATCGTCACCATCACCATCATCACCAGCATCAAAATTTAATAACTGATAATGTAATGAGACCAAATAATGTTCATCAATACTCCTCTACTTCTGGAGAAAAGAAAGTGATGATCTTAACTTCAAAGGTAGCACAAAAGTCTTATGGAACTGAAAAAAGATTCTTATGCCCACCACCTACGACAATGATCTTGGGTTCCAATTGGTGGTGTCCATCACATAACAACAACAACAATAATACATTGTCTGCGTCACCAACTAATACTACTAATGCTGCTGCTGCTGCTACTACTACTACTTCGTTTAGCCCTCCAAAGATTACTGTTGGCATATCAGGGGAACAAACAAATCAACAAGGTATTCTTGAATGGATTAGCCCATCAGGAAATTCACTTGATCCTACATCAACTTGTTCAGAAATGAATTTCAGTGGAAAATGCGTTTCGAAGCATTTGTATATTAGTGATGCTGATGAAAAAAGAAAGAAAGTCGAAGTCTTGGTTAACATTCAAAGTCCAATGGGTGATAATATTGGCACTTTTGCCAGTAAACCAATTAAAGTCATCAGTAAACCAAGTAAGAAAAGACAAAGTGCAAAAAATATGGAATTATGCATTCACCATGGTTCTACTGTTTCATTGTTCAACCGTATTCGATCTCAAACAGTCTCAACAAAATATCTTGGCGTTTCTACACAACAAAATGCTAATCAAACTTCTGGTTCTTGTAATTATCCTAATGGTAATAGTGGCATAAATAATAACAACAACAACAACAAGGATAATAACATGTTGAACAATAACAACAACAACAATAATAATGGAGAAACACAATCAATTCAACCACCACAACAACCTTGTTTTGTTGCTCGTACTGGAAGTTGGGATCCATTTATTATTTGGATAGTTGACCCTAATTATACTAAGGGTAAAGATGATAATCACCACCACCATCATAACAATCATAATAACAATAACCAACAACAACAAGCTTTCCCCCGTCCTCCTCCATCTGCCTTAAAATCTGATCCTAATGCTCCAATACCAATCCACTACAATCAACCAGTTGTTTTACAATGCTTGACAACCGGTATGACTAGCCCTGTAATGATCATTCGCAAGGTAGACAAAGGTAGTATGGTAGTTGGTGGCGGAATTGTTGATAATAATGAAGAGGCTATTGGGGACCCAGTATCTCAACTTCATAAAGTAGCATTCCAGATTAAAGATGCTACTTTGTCAGCAGCAGCAGTAACAACAACAACAACAACAACATCATCATCAATTTATCCTTCTGGTCCAGGTACTTATCTTGCTTGTCTTGGTGACGTTGTTGGAATGCAACGTGCAAACGATGGTCGACAGATCATCATTTCAACAACCTCCACCCCCACTCCTACATCTGCATCTACCACCATAAACGACATTTCACCGCCTGCCTGGTCCGGTGCTGCTGCTGATGTCTTAACTGAGAATATTAAAGTTGGACGTAAAAGACGTGTGTCTTCTCCTGCTGCCGTAATGCGACCATCATCAACCAATTCAAACAAAAGGAGGAGAGTCAATAGTTTAAGTGGAGTAGCTAGTGAGGTAGATTTAGCAAGACTAGCATCTAATACCAATAAAAATTCAGGTGCATTATGGACAGAAGACGTAACAGATGCAGCGGTTTGGACTATAGTTGGAACAGACTGTGCAACCTACACATTCTAAGATGTGCATCTTATACAACATTATTTTTTTATTTATTCGTTGAGGTGTTTTTATTTTTTTTTTTTTAGATTAATTTTAATTTTAAATTTAAATTGCAGAATTTATTTTTTTATTTATAATATTTCAAATCAAAATCATCATTAACTATCGTCAAAAATTATTATAATAATTATTTAATCGTCATAATAATAATTAATCGTAATAATTTAATCGCTACAACCAACCAATTATTTAATCGTCATAATAATTATAATTAAATTTTCAACAATTAAGAATTTACAAAATATCTATGAGGGAAATTTATTTTTAAATTCTGTGTATATAGTTAAAAAATTTTAAATTTCTCCCATTTTTTTTCCTGAATAATTAAACTTTAAAAATTATAAAAAAAAAAAACAAAAAAAAAACTAAAATAAAATTAAAAAAAAAATTAAGAAATATTTAATACTATTTATGAGGGAGAAATTTAATTATAAATAATAATAATAATATATATACATATATATAAATAATAATAATATATATACATATATATATAAATATAATAATTATGAAAGTTTAATTTCTTTGTACAAAATTATTTTTTTTTTGCTTTATAATATATATATTTTTATTCTTTTTTTACATAATTTTCATTCTTGTTTATAGTTCAAAATAAAAAAAAAATTACATATATGCAATAAATACATGTATATAAATAATATATATTGTCTTTTCTCTTTGATACAATTATTGCTTTTATTGCTTCCAAAAAGCAAGCAACCCAACCATATCCGATTCCTATATTTATAATAAATTTGTAAATTAATAAAAAACTTATTTATTTGTTATTAAAAAAATTTATCAAACAGCAATTCAAAAGCATCCGTCGCCATATGAAACGACTGTCCTTCTTGAGCCACCTGAGACTTTGTCAAAAGGTTTGTTATATACAAACTGTTATTGATGTCACGAAATCAAAAAGAGATTTAAAATATAATGAGGTAATTTGAATGCCCACAGAGTTAGATACCATCATTGTCAAACCCATACTCATTTATCCAATTTGATGCATTCTTTGGCTTTGCGACGCCAATGCTAACGTTAACTACAATCAAATCTCTTTCCGCGTACAGCATTATCAGGCCAAACGATGACTTTCAATTTTAAAAGCTATCTGCTGTCGTATAGAAGCTTGTTCTCAAAACTCTTTTCTTGATGTGTGCCTGAAACCAGCAAATTTGATTCTTGCATATAAAATCACGGAGACTATCAGTTCCAATATTAACGGATCTTTGATGAAATCCAGTAATTGACACAAGGGTGTATGTATAGAGTCATAATTTACATCTTATTTTCTGTGTCTCCCTCCTTGCCCGAGCATCCACTGCATTGATTCTTACAAATGTCTTTAAAACCTTGTACAGCGGAAGAAGATAAGGTGATTTCACCAAGAATTTTTTACAGTATTATCATTCAGTGATTGGCCATCAAGAATTATACGGCTTTCTATCCACAAAGTTCGGCTAAAAAACACCTTGACTGATATTTAACCAAACATCAATCATTATGGTGTCCCGTGGCTGTTGGTTTAGTATTCAACACGTAAATGTTGAGAATATATTTTAAGAATTTTCTATTAATTTGGAAATTTTTATAAATAAACTTTAAACTATGGTAAATTTTTTCTCATAATAAAATTAAACAAAACTTTATAATTTTATTGTTTAAATCTTCTATAATAAAGTTATAGAGAGCTTTTTGCTCCAACCCATTTGTTATAAAGTTTAACTATTAGCGATTTTTTTCAATGTTTTTGTTATATATAAAAAAATTGTTTTTATTTAGCAAGAAAAAAAAACTCGCTGTAATCTAAAAACTTGACCTATTTACTATATATTAATAATAATGAACAGAGCGGTACCTGCCTGTCTAGAAAGATTGTTCCTCTAGGCGCTACTATTAGTGACTAATTATAATGTGCATTTATGATAGTATCATTATGAATACCCAAATTTCGGCTATTGTTTGATACGGTCAAATAGTTATAGTCGCTTTTTTTATTAAATATATTTATCTTTTGATCGCATTTTTTATGGGAATTTTTCTATACGATTACAGCGCGTGACTATAAAAACATGATTTTTAAAATTAAAATTACCTCACCATCAAATATCTATTAGCTCAACGAATTCATGTGATATTAATATAAAATTACTAATAAAATTATTTCTTAATGCACGTGAATAATAAAACAAAACAATTGAAATCGTAAAATACAACAATGTAAATTTCCCAAACAAAAATCGAATAGATTATTTATCCGATTTCAAAACAATTTAATAATGCTTGATAAAAAATAAAATCCCTTATAAATTAAGATGATTAAAAAAAATCTTTATTAAAATCCTATATAATTAAAAAAAATCACCTTATTAAAAATGACTCATTTTCATGTATATATTACTTCTGAACAAAATGTGAATTATACATTTTGAAAAATATCGATTCAGAAACAGATATGTGGAATTTTGTTGAAATATTTAATTGTATTTTTTTCTCCCTTTGTCGTGTATATATGGATGACATTATTTCACTGTAGTGGTGTCCTTTCTATTTAATATAGTCGTTCGATCTTTTGCTTTCCTAGATGTTACCTTACCATTATAAAAAATTGTCAAGTTATTTTGATAATAAATTAACAATGAATAGAACAGATTGTGATCCATCCGGACTGTTTAATAATGATGATGAATTTGACGATCGCGATACATCTGAACTGTTTAATGATGAATTTGACGATTGCAGTACATCTGGATTGTTTAATGATGAATTTGACGATTGCAGTACATCTGGATTGTTTAATGATGAACTTGATGACAGATAATTTCCTCCAAAAAAGAGAATTCAATCTTTTTGACTTAAAATTAACACAATGCAAAGTAACAAAAAATATGTTGAGGCAGAAATTGTTATGATCATAATAAAATTTGACGTAAATTTGGAGGTTGGCTACTTGCTATCTATAATTTTTCATATCGTTGTCATAGTCATCCAGATAAATCATTTAGGTATGTGTCGGAACAAGTTAGCCATCATCCAGTAAGTAATATGATTTATTTGCCCAGCTTGTGGAACTAATGATTATAGTCCTGCGTTACGCAATGCTCGAACTTTAACTTTGGAAGAAAACTCGAATATTGGGTTTAATATTAACTCAATTTGCTAAATCGTGGCGATAAATTGATAATAATAATAATCCGTTTGGTCAGCAACACTTCCTGATTGTTTGTAACGATATAATTTAATGTGGATTTAAAATTTTCCCAGAGCCTTCCTTAGCCACATCTTTAGTACTAATATTAATGATGTTTGCAATAAGTCATCGGTGGTAAAATTATCTTTTGTAAACATCAAAGCATACTATGAAATCCTCAAATACATTAACATTTCATTCTTTGGCTCTTATATTAACTAAATATTAATTAACTGAATCTAAGATTTAACTTATCCAATTGTTTATCATTATATCGGAAATTTTAGTATTTAATCCTTTTAAACGTCGAAAAGTTTCAAGTATATCTTTAATGGTTTTTTAGAAAAAAATTCTTTTTTTTAATATATTATAAAACGGAAAGTTGGCATGTAACTTTTTACTTACTATTTTTTCTATTTAAATTCTTGTCTATCTGGAGAATCATTACCTCGTAACCCTGTGAATAGAACGATCTGTGTTTGTTTGTTTATACAATAAATAAATAACTAGTTTCATATGAAAAAAAGCTTTCCTTATTTACGTTGTACAAATCTTCCAAAATCAGCGCATTCATAGTAATAGTAATTCTATTAAATGTGACCATGATTCGAAAGTACTTTAAAAAAACTTTCTGTGACCGCCTCACCATAGATTCGCATTAATAGAAATGAAAAGGTCACCGCCTTTACATAATCAGAAGAAAAATGTTATCAGTTATGCTATTTCGCAAATATAGAGCCATAAAAAAGGCCCTCAGTTCGTATTATTAATAATTTATGGGATTTTTTATGAAACTTAAAAAAAAGAAAAAAAATTTTAAATTATTTAATATGTCCTCGACATTTTGATCCGCATTACTATTATTACATATTTTGCCAAGGTAAATTGAAACCTGTTTGCTGAAGCCCTTGTTTCAAGTTTGGTTCCAAAATCGGTTATTCGTGATTTTGATTTTCACAAGATTAATATTAAAAGAAAAAGAAAAAGAATTCTTATCAATTGTTTTACAAAAAATTCATTTGTTTATTTATTTACTTATATAGAAGAACTAATGTAGATGGATATATCAATTTTTAGACCCTGTCCCATAAAAGGTTATTCTGTAATCTTATAAATGTTCGTATAGTTTCTTGAGTTAATCAAATTGTTTTGCTGATGTCAAAAGTCAAAATTATTCCAAATCCAAGTCAAAAGTACTTACATTCCTTCACAAAATTAATGCATTCATAAGGGCTTAGTGCGTGACCCTAATGAGACACTTGACTAAACTATTAGTCATATGTTAAGTCAAGAAAATTGTTACTATTATTAAATTAGGGTTTTATACCCATAATCGACTAGATTGATTTTCATTAATCATTTGGGGGTGAACTTTATATCACATTTCGGACGATAATAGAAAGGATACAGTAATTTTTTGTATCGATAATTTCTTTTTTCTTATTAAAAAAAACCAAAATTTAACCCTTCAAAAAAAAAAGTCTTTAATTAAAACCCCCCGAAAATGAAGACATATCCAAATCCACACATAGGAGATTTATCTGACACGTTTGTAAGGTCAATAATATTTCTTAGAAGTGCTAGGAGGGTGACTTTGGAATCTAATAATGGATTTTTTGAAAGCACAAAATTCCAGACAGTTGAGCAGCGTAGATTGGCATCCGATTCGATTGTTATCGAATCAATCTCCCATTGTGACAATTTGGTTGGTCTTGGTAAAGAGTTAATGGAATTTTTTGAATCTTGTAATAATGAGTCAATTTCTAATGAAGATATATTAGATGATTTGAATTTACTTTTGAATGATGCCAAAAGACTTAAAACGACAATAGAAGGTACCAACTCCAAAATTAAATCTCTCAATGAAGGTATGACAACCGTTTATGATAAAGGAACAGAATTTGGCGTGAAAGATATGACAAATTTAAAGTATGATGATGACTTAAAAAACGCTGAATCAAGGGAAAAAGTTTTAAAAGTAATGAAAGGACTAACAACAACCATGTTTATTGTAGGCGGAATTTACTTATTAATCAGTGCACCGGCGGCGGCAACAGCAGTAGCAGCGGTAGCAGTGAAATCAAGTGCAGCAGCAGCAAGTGCAGCAGCAGGTGCAGGCGCAGCGGTAGTTGGGTTATCTAGGGTGGCCTCACGTTCCGTAGAATCTGCTTTTATAAAAAATAAAAAAGTTCCTGATGGATTAAGTGGAAAACAAATTCACTACATGTCAGAAAGTATACAAGATAGCGTCTTTTCGATAATTTCAGTATTAAAAAATCTTGAATTTTTCTGGAATAAGAATGCTGATAAATTAGAAAGGCTTATTGAGAAATTCGAAGTTTCCAGTGAACGTAAATCTCGTCCCAACAAATTAATCCTTAGACGGCTTGAAAGACAATGGAAGGAAACAGTCGAAGAATGTAAAAATATTACACAAAGACTTGAATTAGAATAATTAATAAGTCCATGTAACAAGATCATTTATTATTTATTATCTCAGGAAATAAGTTTGAATTTAGGATGTTTTAGGATTTTATCATTATTTTATAAATAAGTAATAAAACGAAAATTGCTTTCTTCCCAGCATGAAATAATTTTTGCTTGCACGTTGCTTTAACATTTTCTGATGTTAATCAGATACATACATACATAGTGAATTTGAAATTATTACCATAATCGATAATATTATACTATTAATGCTAATAACAAATGATATGTACATTGTATTTGCGGCTTTTCGTGCTTTTTTACGACAAATTGTTCTTTCTGAATTTTCTATATACTGTCAGTCTGTTTAAGATGTTAAATAATATATCTAATTAAGTCAAAAATTTCGCGGAAAAATCTGAATCTGATAGATGGAAAACAGGGTCGATGATTTTTTGTGATTCACAAATTTCACGTAATTCACATAATTCACATAATTATGTGATATTAATAATTAAAATGGGGGAGTTTTTGCATAATATGTCAATATACATACATGTAATCGGACGCAGCAACCAATTGTACTTGATAATATAAGTAATGACCGACTTATCGAGTTTACATGTGTATGTCACAAGGATTGTAACTGGTGAAAATTTTAATGTAATAATGCATTATATGTTTTGCAGGGATCGTCACCAGTGTATAAATTTCGGCGTGTAACTAATGCAAATTTAGAAAATTACCAATGTATTATGGCACGCCACGCTGGATAAAAGTTGTTGCAATTTTGATGGGTGTCTAAAAATTTTCAGGCTTGTCAAAATGTCCAAAGTCTAAATATTGGTTTAGTCATGATTTTCAAGCCTGAAAATAATTTAGGCACCCATCAAAATTGCAACAAAACGCTGCAATTATATTTAAATATGGATCTACAATAAATGGCCCATTCGCTTAATAAATCATAAAGATTGTTTATTTCTTTATATCTTTTCGTGTTATATTGAATAAATTTTTGATTAAAATTTGATATGCGCGAAAAGAGGACATCCAAGATGAGAGGAATATGTGCTGCAAACTTTTCATGAAATACATTTTGGAAATATAGGTTAAAACTCATTTGGTTGAAAATGACAATTAGTGATTATTGGATCCAAGGTAAAAAAATTTGTTGCAAACATGTTATTTTCTATATATACAGTTCACTCTCTCTATAACGGCCCTTTCTATAACGACCTCCATTCTATAACGCACTGTGAATCAGAACCCAAATTTTACTATATAAAAACCTTACTCTATAACGGTTTTCGTAATTAAATTTCCTATAGTGTATAACGGCCTGCCCTTGAAATGTTTTATATGTTGTCTATATAAGAATGTTTAACAGCTGACTCAACCGTGGTTGAACCGCGGTTTGTCGATCTGATTTACATTAAATCTTAATCATGATAAATGTAACGATTTTAAATAAAATAAAGAAGAAATAGTCTAAACATTATAGTCAAACAATTTATTTATTTATTTTTACTATTAAGTTTAGAAACATTTGGATAGATGAGATTATCTGTCTGTTTATAAATAGAATAAATAATATTTTTACTACAATTAAAATATTTGTAAGAAAGTGTTTAATTCGTTTTTGAAGTAATCCTTTACATATAATGTCCAATGACAATGATTTTTCTGACAACAACAATAATTATCTTCCTGAGTTTGAAATTAACAGAACAAGAAAATGATGATGACAATGACGGCAATGACTCTATTTTAGATAATACATATGTAAACTCGATAAGTCGGTCATGTGGGGGTGAGCTCATATGACCGACTTATCAAGTAAACCGACTTATCAAATTAAATTACTTAAATATTAAGAAAATGAGGTGAAAATTTTTGGCCGACTTATCGAGTAAACTGACTTATCGAGTGACCGACTTATCGAGTTTACATATGTATAACAAATATTTGAAAGTCTATCTTCAACTAATAATATTTGCTCACCTCCTACAATAGAAAATATATCTTTAAGTAATAAAAGTAAAACAACATCTGCGGTTTGGAATTTTATGTATAAAAAATATAATAGTCAAAATGAAGTTATAGGAATTGTTTGTAGTTTATGTGAAAAAAATTATGCAAAAAAATCATCAACACGACCACTTATGGATCATTTAACAAAAGAACATAGTAATATTCTTTCTACAACAAATCAATTACAAAAACCATATAAAGAAAATGATAATAAAAGAATAAAAGAATGTACAGATGCTGTTATTAATTTTATTGTTGGGTTCCAAATGCCATTCTCAGTTGTAGGAAATTTTTGGTTTAAAAATTTATGCAATATCTTTGATTCATGGTATATCTTACCAACACGTCAATCTTTACAAAATCAGAGCTTACAGTAAAAAGTATTGCATGTATATTATATTAAAAATCGTTGTTTAAAATTAACCACTCATATTTAAAGTATGTGATCAACAACGGTTATTAAAATTGGCCAATCAGATTTTAGTATATGATCGACAAACCGCGGTTCAAACCGGTTTTTAAACCGAACCGAACCGACTCAACCTATGTCTATAACGGCCGACGATCATGATCTGAGGTAATCATTGCCAAATTAAGAAATTCAGTGTGTCACGCTCAATTATTAAATATTAATAATTCGAACGCGTTTATTGTCACAATACATTTATTATTATAAACATAAATCCATTTGTCAACATTAATTCATCCTTTGCAGTCACAATATATTATTCGTATTTGAAGGATCATAAAAAAGAAGAATGTCATTATGACTTCATAAGTTTTGCTGTAATAATTCTTTGTAAGCATGACATAAGAAAAGTCAACCTCCTTATGGCTTCATAAATATTTCAAAACGTATATAAAGACCATATTTTACTTGACCAACAATCAGAATTAAATGATGACGATTTTAAATTACTGAAAAGTCTTAAAAGAAAAATTAAAAAAATTGATTTTAACTCATAGCCTTTTTAATATTGAATAAGTATGCAAATTATAAATAATTTAGTTTCATTTATTTCACTTATTTTTTTTTTTTTTTTTGCTGAGTGAGGTCTGACCAAACATTTTATGATGATCATGCCATTCTTGGAATGGGTTAATCGTACAATGTTTGATTCAGTCGTGGATAGTGGTGTGACCCACTACCCAAAACTGTGACCTGCCACCTTGAATGGATATGGCGGTCCAGACCTACTGATCCATGGCATCGCCATAGCTCAATTCCACTCTTTTATTAAATAAAATTAGGTTTTCAGTACATATGTTTACATAATAATTTGTTACAATTTCATTTCTATTTCTATTGCTACTATTACTAAAGTTCCTACTTCTATTACTAGTATTATTATTAGTGTTGTTGTTGTTATCCTCATTATTGTCTCTATTAATAGATCTAATATTACTACTATTTCTACTGTTGTTATTATTATTATTATTACTGTTAACTTTCTGCTCCATTGTAATTCCTGTTTCTTTTTCCCATTGTATGATACTATCACACCTCACTTTCCATATCTTGTCTCATTGGAGGTGGTTGTAATTGTTGTGGTCTTGGTGGTGTTGGTCTCATTGATCCAGTTTGAGACATATTGTTTGTGGTCGGTTGTTGATACATTGAAAAAATAGATTAATAAGAACAATAATAAGATCATTTTTTTTAAATATATTTTATTGTATAAAATAAAAATCTTTGTTATAATTTATCACATGACTATGATCTGCAAACTCTCTATAACGGTCCCTCTCTATACGGCCTTTTTTTGCCAAATCAGTCAGGCCGTTATAGAGAGAGTGAAATGTATATGCGCTGATAGGTTTTGTAGTTGACTTTCAATAAAGGGAAATACGTACTGGTTTTTCCTGTTGAAAAAATTTCAATGTTTGAGTAATTGATGAAATAAACTTGGTAAAGATGTAATGAACCCAAATGTCTATTAGTAAGGAGTGATACAATAGTTTTTAATATTTCAACTTCCAATAATAAAAATTTCATGTGATTTTGTCCACTAGTTACATTGTGATGAACAATTTTCTAATTCCAGTTTTTTTTGTCCCACACTGTAAATCTCACATATATATATATATATATATGTGAATTCAAAAAAAATTTTTCAGTGACTCGTGTAATAAAAAGAGCATTCACACCAGGATTTCAATTAGCTAAAAGATAATTTGAATCTTGGTCAGATGGAACACAATTTTCATTCTTTAGAAAATTTTATCATAGTGCACAATGTATGGTTGCAGTTCATTTAGTTCAAGAAAATGTTAAAAAAGCTGTAGATGTCTGGATTAAAGGAAATGATGATGACGATGATGATGATGATGGCAACAACGGGAAAAAATAACATTAATATATTATTTATTATTAAAAAATTTTTTTTAGAAAATTAAGGTAATCAATCATTACAATGAATATCTTCCCATGGATAGATAAACATAATTTTTTTAACAAGATTATTAGTTTTTTCTTCTTTTCATTTTTTCTCCTTCTTCAGATGATGAAATTTTAAATATCGTAAAGAGTTAATTCCTTTACTCACTGGTAATTATACAAAAAATCAAATTTTGATTTTTTTTAGTCTGGATTTTGATTCGTTATAATAATGATAAAGGAAATTTTATTTAGCAATTCCAATAGATAATTTAAAATCTTGAAATTAATAAATAAATTATTTCTAAACACTTTAAATAATTATTTAACAAATATCTGTTTATTTGATTTTTTAGGCGCAATTAATATTTAAGGTAAATGATTTATTTTCAAATTTTTCTCCTTTCAATGTTTCTCTGTTAAATTTATGATGATATATAATCGCCTAAATCAGAAATAGATTGCATGATGAGAATTATTATTTAATGATATCTGATAAAATTTATAATATAATAATAATAATAATAATAATAATAAATTTTCAAGAACTAATTTTTTTTTTATTATTCATTTATAATAAATAGGTCACAATTGTATTAATTTAAAATTTATTAATCACA